TCTTTGTTTTTGGTGTTTTCCTTCCCTTTAGCCGAAAGCTATAGTTGAATATTTGCCATCCTATTCTGATTCTGTCTACCCATGTATCTCCTTACTCTGTATTTTGTGACCACTTTCTCTCTTTTTTTCCTTTTTCGGGTATGAGGGCCTTCTTGAGGATTTCTTGTAAGGGCGGGTTTCATGGCTACAAAATCCCTTAGCTTTTGTTTGTCTGAGAAACATTTATTTTCTCCATCATATCGGAAGGATATTTTTGCTGGATAGAGTACTCTTGGCTGAAGATTCCTGTCTTTTAAAGTTTTGAATATGTCATTCCATTCTCTCCTAGCTTGTAAGGTTTCTGCAGAGAAATCCACTGAAAGCCTGATAGGGGTTCCTTTGTAGGTTATTTCCTTCTGCCTTGCTGCCCAGAGTATTCTTTCTTTGTCATTCATTTTTGCCAGTTGTACTACTATACGCCTTGCAGTCGGTCTTTTTACATTGACAAATCTAAGAGATCTGGAAACTTCTTCCACACAGATTTCCCTCTCTTTCCCTGGATTTTGGAAGTTCTCTGCTATCATTTCTTTGAACACGCTTTCTGCTCCATTCTCATTCTCTTCACCGTCTTGAAGACCTATAATTCTTATGTTGCCTTTCCTCATTGAGTCGGATATTTCTCAGACACTTTCTTTATTCATTTTTAGTCTTAGTTCTCTCTCCTCCTCTGTCTGGAGCATTTCAACATATCTATTTTCGATTATGGTGATATGCTCCTCTATGATGTCCACACGAGCATTGAGGGAATCCGTATTTTGTTTTATCTCTTCCATTGTGTCTTTCATCTCTAATATTTCTTTTATTTTTCTACTGAGGAAGACTGGCCCTGAGCTAACATCCATGCCTATCTTCCTCTGCTTTATATGTGGGATGCCTACCACAGCACGACTTGCCAAGCGGTGCCATGTCCGCAGCTGGGATCCAAACCGGCAAACCCTGGGCTGCCGCAGTGTAATGTGCACACTTACCCGCTCCGCCACTGGGCCGGCCCCCATCTCTAATATTTCTGATTGATTCTTCTTTACAGTTGCAGTCACTTTTGTGAAGTAGCCTCTAAACTCATTGAATTGTTTCTCCACATTCTCTTTTACCTCATTGAGTTTTTTGAGGATAGCTATTTTGAATTCATTGTCGTTTAGCTTATATATTTCTGTGTCCTTAGGGCTGAGTTCTGGGGGCTTGCCGTTTTGTCTCCGGTCTGGAGATTTGATGTAGTGTCTGATGTTGGAAGGTCAGGGCTTTCTCATTCTGATAGTATTCGGTTGCAGTTACCACCTATTGCCATTGGGTGGGGGTTGAGAGCCTCGTATTCTGAGCCCTCCACCTTCAGCTGAGATCCCAGGGGCTGGAGCCACGCTGAGCGGGTCGGGGGAGGGGTGCTGTCTCCCGCATGCACTCTGGGATTTCTCGATCAGCTGTCGCTATCTGGTCTCCTGGTGTCTTGGCTTGATGAGGTCACCCCGTGTGAAGGCTTTCACCCCGTTAGAAGGCTTCCCTCTAGGCAGCAAGGGCCCGTGGGAGTCCTGGGTGATCCTCCAAATGAGCGACCCCTCGCCCGCTCCTTCCCTCATGGATCCGCCCGCAGCAGCAATCCCAGTCTTTGGGGGAGGGAGTGAAGTTCTCTCTTACACTGTTCCAGCTCCTCCAAGGGGAACTCCAGCCTCTCTGCACTCTGTCGTGTGGCTGCATGTCTCTCCGAGGTTTTCGTGTTGTTATGATGTCTTCTGTTGGAGTACGGATGTCACTTTTTGTTGTATGTTGGGGGGGGAGACAGTCCTGGGCAAGTTCACTCCACCATGGTGCTGTCATCACTCTCTCAACATAACTTTTATATGCACTGGGAAAACAAAAAATTCATGTGACTCACCTTATTGCAATATTTGCTTTCTTACCGTGGTCTGGAACTGAGCCCACAATATCTCCGAGTGATGCCTGTATTAAAAAATAACCAAGTCAGAGGACTGACACTACCTGACTTCAAAAATTACTATAAAGCTGAAGTGGTCAAACCAGTGTGGTACTGCAGAAAGAATCAACAAAAACATTAATGGAACAGAATAGAGAGCCCACAAATATTGTCAAATGATCTTTGACAAAGGAGCAAAGACAACGCAATGAAGAAAAGATAGTCTTTTTAACAATGGTGCTAGAAAAACTGAACAGCCACATGGAAAAAAATAAAGGTAGACACAGACCTTCTACTTCTCACAAATATCAACTCAAAGTGGATCATAAACTGAAAAATATGAAGCAAAAGTATAAAACTTCTAGGAGATAACACAGAAGGAAATCTAGGTGACCTTGAGTTTGGCAATGAGTTTTTAGGTAACACCAGAAGCACAATCCAAGAATGAACAAATTGATCAGTTTGAATTCATTAAAAGTAAAAACTGCTTTCTGAATGAATATCAAGAAAATGAAAAGACAAGCCACAGACTGAGAGAAAATATTTGTAAAAGACATCTGGTAGAGGAATTTTATCCAAAATATATAAGTAACTCTTAAAACTCAACAATAAGAAAATTAACAACCCAATAAAAAATGGGTGAAAGAGTTAGACACCTCACAAAAGAAGATATACTTATGGCAGTTAGGCATATGAAAAGAAGTCCAGCATCAGATATCATTACAGAATCGCAAATTATGAGATACCACTACACACCTATTAGAATGGCCAAAATCCAAAATACTGACAACACCTAATGCTGGTGAGGACATGGAGCAATGAGAACTGTCATTCATCGCTGGTGAAAATGCAAAATGATACATCCACTTCTGGAAGACAGTTTGGCAGTTTCTTATAAAGCTAACCACAGTCTCCACTATACAATCCAGCAATTGCACTCCTTGGTATTTACTCAGTTGATTTGAAAACTTCTGTCGGGGCCAGCCCGGCTGTGAGTGGTTAAGTGTGAGTGGCTAAGTTTGCGCACTCCGCTTCGGCAGCCCGGGGTTTCGCCGGTTCGGATCCTGGACGCAGACCTAGAACTGCTCATAGCAGAACTAGAAGGACCCACGACTAGAATATACAACTACGTACTGGGGGACTTTGCAGAGAAGAAGATAAAAAAAAAAAAAACATTCACAACAGACGGTAGCTCAGGGCCAATCTTTTTTAAAAAAGAAGAAGAAGACACGTCAATACAAAAGTCTGCACACAAAAAAATGTTTATAGTAGTTTTATCCATAATTGCAAACACTCAGAATCAAGCAAGATGTCTTTCAATAGATGAGTGGATAAACAAACTGTGTACATCCATACAATGGAATATTATTCAGTGATAAAAAGAAGTGAGCTATCAAGCCACAAAAGGACATGGAGAAAGCTTAAACGCGTATTCTAAGTGAAAGAAGCCAGTCTAAAAAAGCTACTTACTATACCACATTCTGGAAAAGGTAAAGCTATTGAGACAGTAAAAAGATGAGTGGCTGCCAGGAGTCCAGGAGGAGAAAACAAGAAGGGAGAGGTGGAATAGACAGAGCACAGGAGATTTTTAGGGTAGTAAAACTATTCTGTACAATAATGCAATGGTGCATTTTACACCACTATAATGACGGATATTACACCAGATGACATGATCCATGTGGCAAAACCCATAAAACTATACAACGCAAAGAGCGACCGGTAATGTAAACTACGGACTTTAGCTAGGAACAATGGATCATTTGTTAAGTGTACAAAATGTACCACACTAATGTAAGATGTTAATAGGAGAAACTGCGTGTGGGGTGGTGAGAGGGGGTCTATGGGAACTCTTTTTGTGCTTTCTGCTCATTCTGTAGGCCTAAAACTGCTCTAAAAAAGCCTACTAGAAAAAAATTGTTATTGCGCCCCTATGTCTCTAATTTGTGAAAAGTCTGAAGTGTGCACACATTAATTTTCAAAAACGGTTTACTCATGGAAATGCAAAAGTGATATAATAATTTTCTTATTTTGGGGTGTATGTGTTTTCACGTATTACTTGTGCAATTTTGAACAGCTGGCGTATTCTCTCTTCCCCCTCAACTCCCCGCCCCCATAAACCCTGCGGGTCACAGGTGTTACTCTTTTTCATTAATGTTGGCTCCATCCATTTTCTACTATTTGTTCTACCTCACAGCCGTAACCCTAAGGGACACTTGGGTGTACCCTTGCTTCTCCTGGCAGCTCGACTTTAAAAGGTGCACTTCTGGAGGGACGGGAAACTCCCTAACGTACCCCCCGTCTCCTCCCCGCACCCACCTCCACGTCTTCAAAACCTCAGAATAGCAGAAAGAGTAAAATGAGCATTATACACACGTATTACAGAGATTTAATGATTCTTAACCCTTGGCCATATTTGCTATCTCTAATTCGTTTGCTGAAGTTTTAAAAAGTAAATTCCAAATATATGATTTCATAATCGTAAATGTTTCAGTATGCATGTGTAAAACATAACAATTTCGTACCTCGTCCAAATATTATCACTAATCAAAGTAATGCTGATTATATATATTAACCATTAACCATATATGTATAATATTGCTTGCGTATATATAATAACCCTTAATATTTCCATAGCTAGTCCATGTTCATATCTCTCCAACTGCCTCCTTGCAGCTGTTGTTTTTTACAACCAGGATCCGATCGAGAACCACGCTTTGTCATAAATGTCGTAAAGCAAAAGTCTAACCCACAACCTCTAGGATTCAGGAAAAATCTCCAGCAGCAAGGTCCAATCGTCACGTCTTCCAACTCGCGAAAGCAGCAGTAACGCTTCCCAAACCACTTGCTGCTGTGTCAGGGTCTTATGGGAAATGTAGTCTTGGATGGTGCGGGCCCTCCGCGCAGCAGTCTGGGAAGGGTCCTCGGCGCTCACTCTGCGCACGCGCACACCCAGCGCCGCCCCGCCCTCCCCCGCCTCCCCGGGCGCGAGAGGGCCAGCGTCCGGACGTCTGTAGGTGTAGGCGGGAGCGGAGGCTGCCGCTCGGGGTGAGATCGCTGGGGACGGGCCTCCGCGCGGCTGGGGGCCTGCCGGGCCGGCTAGGCTCGCGTCCGGGGACGGGAGCGGGGTGCCCCGGAGGCGCCACCGGGCCCTGCCCTCCCCTAGCCCCGCGTCCCCGGCGGCCCCGGGGCGCGGGCTGGGGGCGGCGCCTCGGGCCGCTTCGCCGCCGTGGGCGTCGCTCTCGAGAGCTCGCGTCCTCCGCGCGCACACCTGCGGCGGCGGCGGCCTGCGGGGCCCGCGCGGTGGGCGCGGACGGGGCTCGCGGCGCGGGGCTCGGGCCGGGGCGGGGCTGAGGCAGCCGGAAGGGAGCTCGGCGTCTGTCCGGAGCCGCGGGCGGTGGAAGGCGGCGAATCGGCGTTGCCGCTGCCTCGCTTCGGGGCCTCCGGAGGCGCCTCGCCCTGTGGCCCTAGCCGGCGGCAGGGCCGGTGGTCGCGGGCGGCTGACGGCCGCGTGGCCGCCCAGGACGTTTCTGGCGAGTTCCGGAGGAGCCGGGCGTGGAGCGCTGGGTGACGCTTGGGATAAAGGGCACTGGCTCCGCGCCCCGGGTCCCAGCCCCTCGGGAGCAAAGGAGCTCTCTCACGGCAGGGGCGAGGGGGCCGCGGGGACAGCTGCCTCTGGGCAGAGCGGCCTTGCTGACGGAGCCCTGCGGGGCTTCGGAGCGGAGGCGGAAGGTTCCAGGCACGCGCGGGCCCGAGGCGCCCGGTCAGAAGCAGTTGTGGGTCCCTGTGTGGCGTGAGGCGGGCTCGAGGAGGTCCCCGCGCCCGGAAGCCGGCCCGGCCTGTGTGCGGTGGACGCTGTGGACCCGCCTGCGGAAGGCGGCGGCCTGGGGTGGCGGGGATGGGGGACTGTGAGGCTGCGCAGGAGCGGGCGGGTCGCTGACGGCTGGTGGGGACGTGGCGTCCGGGGAAGGCTAACCCGCGAGCGCGGGCGGGACCCCAAGCAGTCCCCTGTCTCCTCCGTTCTCCCCGCGCCCCCTGCGGATTCTGAGCTGCTGTCGCGCCTGTTCCTCACCACGTGTGGCATCTATGAGTGATGCCGATGCTGCCTCTTTCCTGAGCATAGAGAAAAACGAAATGGGAGGAGAGGGGTTTTCTGTGCTGGACGCTTTCGGAAGCCCAAAGACAGCAGGCCTGTAATGAACGGGGTTTGTCGAGTCACCCAGGGCAGACCCAGGAACTAAGCGCACAGCTGTTGACTTACACGGGTGAGTACTGTAAGCATCTGATCCGAAGATCTTTTTTAGGAACTGCAACCAATTGAGAACAGAAAGTTGCAAGAAATTTATTTCTTGTATGAAGCATCCGTTTTTATCTCGGAGTTTTCTGTGAAGCTCTAACTCAAGGTGTAAAGACAAGAACTTGGTTAATAATCCAGCCTGAGTAGTTGTTTTGGACAACGTTAGTTTTAATGAAGGTAGAGGGTTCCCCCCCCCCCCCCCCGGGGTTGCTGGAATTGTTTATTTCTCTGTTTCATGCTGCTGCTGCTGCTGCTGCTGCTGCTACTGCTAATTAGGCAGAAGAGGAAAGACGTTAACTCATCAAGAAAAAGCAGTGTACCCTACTCAGTGAAAATGCAAGGTTAAGCCCAGAGAGTCATATCCGAGGTGCGCACGTTCAGGTGGTGCTCCCTCTGTGTCCCCTTCTCTCCCTTCTCCAGCGTGTGCCAAGGGCTGTTTTTCCATAGGGAAAGCTTGTCTCCAGCTGGTATAAGGGGAGTTTTAGGCAGGTGAGTGTAGGAGTTGTAGGGCTGACCAGGGTTTCTCATGACCCCATTTCTCTTTTCTCCTCCCCAGCTGAACCTTCACAGATCTTTACCTTCTTCCAGGAGTAGCAGAAAATGAACATAGCTCAGGTGAGTTCAGTTTTTAATAGCTTGCTTGTGTTACAAGGGATTTTATAAGGGCTTACGTGTCTCTCCGTCAACATGGAAGAGTAGAAATAGAAATGGATCAGATGCATTCAGAGAAGACACAGAAATACAGTTGAAGAGCAGAGCAAAGGTGGCAGGTGGGTACATGCAGGTCCTCTGACATTGCAGATGTACTACGTTGGAGTTCCAGGTTTATTTCTGAGGTTTGTGATAGCCGTGGCAGGGTATCAGGCGTGATATTTCTTTCAAGGTTAACGTTGGTGAGAAGGTAAAGCAAACTGATTCCTCATAGACTATAAAGACAATTGAAGGTGAAGAATATCTTTGTTGTTTTCAACTACGTGATTTAGTTAACAGCTTCCAGTAGTAACCCTAAGATAACATAGGACGTTGCCTCCACTTGTGCTTCAGTAAAGGTAGAAGAGGTAACGCTGAAGTGAGCTCAGTCAGTACTGTTTTTCACAAACTCCAACACAGGGATTGCAGGAGACATTTTTCTGATGGACCAACTGACTATCCTTAAGATTACTCTCCATAAATATTTCGAGTACCCGTGATTTTCAGGACAGTTTAAAACGGTCAGCCCAGCAGACAGTTTAAAATTCTGTTCTCCTTCAAGTGTTTCAACACTTTCAGTCACGCTCTAAACCTTTTCATGAGGCCTTGGTCTCTCTCCCCACTTACCTGTGATCTCCAGTGACCAGAGACTCGATTATGATCAAATCCATTGGGTCTTGCCTGATCCTTTGCTTACTTGACTTTTCTGTAGCACTTGCCTCTACTTCTCACTCTGTCCTTCTGGAAAGTGTCTCTGTGAGTGTCTGTGACACCTTCCACTGGCTCTGTCCTTCTCCTGCTGATATCTTCATGGAGTCGTCGTCTTTCCCTTGTCTCTTGCACATGGCTCATCCCCAGTTTCCCTCTTTGGCCCTTTAATCTCGTCTGTTGTCTTGGAATGATTTCATTTTCTCTCATTTTTTTCTTTAAACAGCTTTATTGAGATTCCGCTCACATACCATGCCATTCACCCATTTAAAATGTAGAATTCAATGATTTTTTTAGTGTACCCGTAGATATGTACAAACGGCACCACAGTGGATTTTAGAACATTTTCATCAACTTAAAAAGCAAGTCTGTACACTTTATCTTCTCCCATCATTCCATTCACCCCCAGGCCCCTCGACTTTCTGTCTCTGTAGATTTGCTGAACCAGTTCCTGTATTACTCCTCATAGGGCAGTTTTGCCTGTGACAAATTCTGTTTATCCGGGAAGGTTTTAATTTTTCCGCTTTTGCTGGGTGTAGAATTCTTGATTGACAACCTTTTTCTTTTAGCATTTTGACTGTGTTGTCGTCCCACTGCCTTCTGTCCTCCATGGTTTCTGGTTAGTAGTCAGCTTGTACAATCATACTATTGTACAGGATGAGTCACTTCTTTCTTGCTGCTTTCAAGATTGTGCCTTTTTCTCGTCTGGTAGTTTGATTAATCCTGTGTCCATGTGTGGGATCTCTTACTCCAAGTTTATCCTACTTGAAGATTGTTGAGTTTCTTGGGATGTGTAGATTAATGTTTTCCATCAAACTTGGAGACTTCTTGTTGATTATTTCTTCAAATATTCTTTCAGACCTTTTCTTTCCTCTCTGTCTGGGACTCTCATTACACGTACGTTTGTAGACTTGGGACCGTCTCCTAGTTCATTTTTTGCAGTTATTTTTTCTTTCTGTTTCTCACTCTGTAATTTCAGTGGACATATGTCCATTCATTCTCTTCCACCTGCTGAAATCTGCTCTTGAATCCCTCTAATGAAAGTTTTGTTTCAGTTGTACTTTTCAACTCTTTAAGTTTCTATTTGGTTCCTTTTTATAATTTCTATCTCTTTATTGATACTCTTTATTTAGTGAAATATTGTTCTCATACTTTCTTTGAGTCCTTAGACATTGTTTTCTCTAGGTCTTTGATGATATTTAAAATAGCTGATTTAAAGTCATTGCCCAGTAAGTCCAACATCTGCTTCCTCAGATGCAGGAATCGATTTCTGTTGATTACACTTTTTCCTACATAAGGGTCTTACTTTCTTGTTTCTTTCTTTGTTTAGCAATCTTTTGTTGATGATTGGACATTTTAAGTGCAACAATGCAGCAAGTCTAGAAATCAGAATTTCTCCCCTCCGTGGGGGTCACTGTTGAAATTTATTTGTTCACTGACTGTTTTTGAGCTAATGCCCTAGAGCCTGTGTTTCTTGTGATCTGTGGCAGTTGGAGTCCCTGTCCTTAAATGCCAGGAACCGGTAAGTCTCCAGGTCTTTGCTAAGGGGCTCTGTGCGTGTGAGGGCATTCCTGCAGCAGTCAGGCAGGCAGTTTACGACTCTGTGCTGGCCTTCACTCCCTTCTTAGCCCAAACCTCAAGGTCAGTTAGAGGTGACAGCGTAGTGCCTTCTCACATCTTTCCTGAGCATGCTCACAGCCCTGGGCATATGCACAGCTCTCCACATGAATGTGGCCTTCTAGATTCTCAGGAATATATTGGAGCTTTTAAAAATCTGTGTGGACATCTCATTCCCCAGCTTTTCCTTTTAAGCTTTTTGATTAGGGTATTGTTTGCCCCAACTGTTATCTACCTCCTCAGATAGCCACTAAGTTAAACAAGTGCCTTCAGATGTTTTTGACAAATGCCTCTGAGCATATGGCTTTTCATTCTCTGTGAGCTCTGAGTGAGCTCAAGTAAAGACACCTTTGCAAGTGGGGTCTTTCAAGGAATCACCAAACAGGCCAAATAATGAGTTTTCTGGGAGTGGGGCTTTGAGGGAACCTCACCCCAGCTCTTCTCCCTCCAGTAGTTGCCAGGCTGCTGGTTTTAACTGTGATGGCAGATTGTTGGTTCTCAAACCACCACAGAGTTGGAGAGCAAGGGATGGGAATAGGGTCAGTGAAAAGGATCCTCTATCACTGTTTTTACTCTGATTCAGCTGTTTTCCTTGAATACATGTCCCGTAGGTTGCTTTTGTTAACTTCTACAATTTTTGCGAGTTTGTTTATCGCTTTTATGAAAGAGAGAATTTTCTTGGATCCTTACCTCACCATTTTCACTTAGGTCACTTGTTAGCTTAATATTTTTTAATCCAGCTGATTTTTATTAAGCCAGATGTGAAAGACATTGGCACGAATGAAAACAATGCCACTTTTCCCACTAATTTTTTAGTTTTTGAAAATATAGTTAACTTTTCTTTACGTTTTTCAGATTAAGATAAATTTAGTGAGAGGTACTCCTGTTCTTTTGTTCATTTGTTTTGGTTACCAGCTACGAGCGCTGAGCTTCACGCAGAGGAGGTACTCGCTCAGTAGCACTGAAGACGTGAATGAACAGACAATTGGGTACACAGCACCAGGGAAAAAAGCTTGTTTCTGTCCTCTTTTCTCTTGGTCTACTTGCTTTCTTTTTATTTTTAATTGTGAAAAGAACACTTAACATGAGATCTGCCCTCTTGCAAATTGTTCAGAATTTTATGTGTGCATGATAGTATGGTTAACTGTAGGCATCATTTGTGCAGCAGATCTCTGGAACTTAATGACCTTGCATAGCCAAAACTGAAGGTGGGTACCTGTTGGACAGCGACTCCCCATTTCCTCCTCCTCCCAGCCCCTTTGAAGCCTTTGGTTGTGGAAACTTTCCCTTTGCTCAGTTTCAAGGACTCCTCCCTCTCCCGATCCTGTTGTTACTTTTCAGAAAACATCCTCTCTGGCTTTATGGCCTGTACTTTTTCTGCCAGCCTCTTTAATATTCGTGGCTCCTCAAATTCTGTTTTTGGTGCTTTTCTTTCCTCGGTCCCCATGTGCTCAAGTTGCTGTCTGATTGCCTCTGATAACTTGAGTTCCCACCTAAATTGCTAGTAATTCCTAAATGCTTGTCTTCATCCTAGACCTTCCTTCTGTGTTCTAAAACCATATGTATACTAGTTTAAGGGGCATTTCCAATATTATGTTCCATAGACCTTTCAGTAGCAACCTCAGCAGATCCGTCTCACGATGACTTCTAACACATTTTTTTCCTTTTGTTTCCCAAATATCGGTGTTTGGCACCAGCATTCAAGGAGCTGCTCGTGCAGTTAGACTGGGTAGCTCCACAAGAAAGTAGTCATCAAACTGGTTGTTGCTTCTGCTCTGTGATTATACCCCTATCCTTATATCCATTCCTGTCCCGTCAGTGTAGATAGTGTTCTCTTCTACTGGTCTCTTTGATTTCAACTCCTTGGTAAGTTGTTCTTCGTTCTTCATGAGCTCTAGATTTATTTATCTTTATACATTTACTTATACATAAGTTTGGTCATGTATAATGTCTCCACAACTTACATAGATCTCTTCCTTGGCCCCCATTATTTGCAGTGATAATGTCCAAGGAGAGACTGACTATCCTAGAAGTCTCTAGAATACCCAGGGCAATTCCTTGGGATGTGGAAGAGTTGTAGGAAGTCGCTTTACATTGAATTTTTTTCTGTAACAAACCCCTATAATTCATAAATATGTGTAAATGAATTATGGTTAGTTAAAAACCTTTTTAACTAGTTGAGCAATTTGAAGTTGGCGACAAAATTAGGTCAAAAATTGGCATCTTTTGTAGCCATTTGTTTTAGAGCCTTAAGAGTAAATAGGAATGGTAGTGGTTCTCAAAGGTCTTTTCTTTGTCACGTAATTCTGAACCTTTGCACAAAATGTGCTGTTATAGGGATTGGTGTCGTTCGAAGACGTGACTGTGGAGTTCACCCAGGAGGAGTGGCGGCAGATGGACTCCACACAGAGGGCCCTGTACAAAGATGTGATGCTGGAGAACTACGGCCACCTGGTCTCCATGGGTGAGCAGCCCTTACCATGTGACTCCCTCTGGATTACATTTCCTTTTTTTGAAATCACCACGCGTGAACCCTCACTAGAGATTAGTGTTGTTCAGGCTTCTTATTAAGAGGTTGAAGGAAACTGAAACCTTTAGAGAAACAGAAACAATGTTTGTGTCATTACTTCCGCGTTGAAAACTTCAAATGAGCACCTTCATTTCGCTGCTCTTGCCACCGTCTCTTTCTCCACCTTTGGAAACCCAAAGGCCCATGGATCTGGTCTGGATATACCCTCAATTGTTATGTTCACAGGATACTGCAGTACTAAACCCCGGGTGATTTTCAAGTTGGAGCAAGGAGAAGAGCCCTGGTCCTTAGAGGAAGAATTCCTAAACCAGAGGTACCCAGGTGAGTGAGCCCTGACAGAAACACCTGGGGTAGTTAGACCTTAGAGGGGAACACTTTCGAAAGTTTTTTTTTTTTCCCCCTTTTACACAGCTTTATTGAGATAGAATTTGCATGCCATACATGTCACCCATCTAAAGTACACAATTCAGTGGCTTTTAATATTATTCACAGCTAGGTGTAAACATCACCACAGTCAATTTTCATCACCGCAAAAAGAAACCCCATACCCTTTACCTATCACCTCCCTATCCCCCAGTCCCCTCCAGCCCTGGCAACCACTAGTCACTTTCTGTCTCTATAGATTTGCCTAATCTGGACATTTCATATCAGTGGAATCACAACATTATGTAGGGTCTTTTGTGATTGGTTTCTTTCACTTAGGATTAAGGTTCCTGTTGTGGCATGTATCAGTACTTCATCCTTTTTATGGCAAAATAATATTTCCTTGTGTGGATGTATCACATTTGTGTGTCCATTCATCAGTCAGTGGACATTTGGGATTCCACCTTTGGGCTGTCATTGAGTAATGCTGATATACACATTCATTTACAAATTTTTGCATGGACGTGTGCTTTTATTGCTCTTGAGTTTCTATCTAGGAGTGGAATTGCTGAGTTATATGGATACTCTGTTTGAGGAACTGCCAGACCATTTTCCAAAGTGACTGCACCATTTTACATTCCTGATGACGGCGTAGGAGGGTTCTGATTTCTCCACGTCTTCACCAACACTTGTGATTGTATGACTTTTTGATTCTTGCCGTCCTAGAGGATGTGAAGTGGCTTATCACTGAGGTTTTGATTTGCATTTCGGTTTTAGTTAGCTGGACTGGCATAACAAAATACCGTAGCCTGGGTGACTTAAACAACAGAAATTTATTTCTCACGGTTCTGGAGGCTGGAAGTCCAAGATGAAGGTACCAGCAGGGTTGATTTCTGGTGAGGCCTCTCTTCCTGGCTGCCTTCTCACTGTGTCCTCACTGGCCTTTCCTCTGTGCATGTGTGGGGAGAGACAGCTCTCATCTCTCTTCCTCTTCTTATAAGGACACCAGTCCTATAGAATTAGGGCCCCACCCTCGTGACTTCATTTAATCTTAATTACCTCCCTAAAGATCTTATCTCCAAGTACAGGTACACTGGGGGGCTAGGGCTTCACCATATGGATCTGGGGGGAGACACGATTCAGTCTGTAACAATTTCCCTGATCACGAATGATGTCGGGCATCTTTTCATGTGCTTATTACTTATTAGCCTTTGTCTAAACTAATAATTCCAGGAATTTGAGAAGTTATAGGTTCAATATAATTCCTAGAGCAAAAAAGTAAAATCGTCTGAAGTCATTGTGTTTACTGAAAGTTTTGTTGTGAAGCCATGTAAACAGATAGCATAATGTAACAGGTTGACGTAATTTAGGTCGGGTGTATCTCCCAATTGCTAAGTGCAAATGATTGGATCATATTGATTGGCTAAAGAAGATATCCCGAAATAAGGATCTTAGGAAGTTTGTAATAAAAGAATAGTAAAGTTATTAAGTCAGTAAAAATAGAATAATTCAGGGTTTCGTGTTCCGTTATTATTCAGGTTTGAATTTTGGCAGTAAATACATTAATAAAGATCCTCTAGCTCAAGAGCACAGCTGAAGTAAACCTTTAAGCATTTGAATGACTGCACCAAACAATATGATATCAAGGATCTTAGCACACAAAATAAGGAAGTTCTAGGAACTTAATGATTCACTAGGATCAGGAGGTCATAAAACACTGCATCTTATTAAATAATAGGTACTGTGGACATTAAAGAAGTATTATGCCTGTCTAGGATATACGTGATATTTGTACTAAAGTGAATCATGTATTTGTGCGTGTATATGCTGAAATCAAAGAGTAAGCCTTCCATGGTCCCATGGAAGAATCTTAAAATTGTGAAAATAATAGTGTTAATCTAAAAAGAGAGCACCAATAAATCCAACAAATTAGAGTCACCACAAATAACATTCCCTCAACACAATTTGGTAAATCTAGAAATTAATGATAAAATGGGTAAACAAAAACACTCTTTCAACATGGAAATTTTAAAAATTACCTCCTTTAAACAATGTCTGAGATAGGAAACCGAAACTAAAATTGTATGAGATTTACAAGATAAAAAAAGAAGGTGCATATTAGAAACCATAGGCTATAGCAAAATGAGTGAACAGAGGTAAATGTGTAGTCTTATATTTATATTAATAAATTACGCAAGAGCACTAAGGAATGTACTAATGAAAGCAGAAGAACTTGAAAGTGCAATTAAAAGTTAATAAACTAAAAAAACTGAGAACTTGTAGAATGTTTCTTTGAATAAAAAACAATAAAGTGGATGAAACTTTAACCCTAACAAAGACAAAAGAAAAGAAGTGCTTATATAATAAATTCAAGTGGGGATGTGTTTGTAAAGACCTAATGCCATAGCCGAGTAAGTCCGTTCCTGAGAGCCATGTGGGAGGACCTGCTCTACTAGATAGCAGGGCTTTAGGTGAAGCTCCCAGTAGTTCAGTAGCATGGAGCTGGGGCTGGGATGGTTTAACAAATGAGTGAAAGAGAAAAGAAAGCTCAAGAAAATACATGCTTTATAGACAGTCGGTCTTTGACAGGCAGCACTGTCCCCACAGAACAGTGGGGAAAGAATCCTGAGGTAACCTTTTGGATTAAAACAAAAAGTCGGAGTCAGGTTGCTTACAGACCTGATTATCAAAGCAAAACTAGAAACATTGTATGTGGTGATAAGGAGAATATGTTCACGACTCCTAGTAAGATAGAAAAAGCATTAACCAGGTGAAAGGTGGAGTAAATGTGTTCCTTCCTACTCTGCCCACAGGTACAGTTAAATATGTACTTCTGTGTAGTGCGTACATATAAGATGAACGTAAGATTCTGAAAGATGGAGAGAGGAATGAAGATGAGCTAGGGACCTTGGCACCTGATGAAATACAGGGTGGTTAGTGTCAGCAGAAGGCTGGTGGGGAGCCTTATTTCTCAGCCCTGCCCAGTGTTAATGTGGCAGCCTCTCCTCCGAATCCCCAGGGTGTCAACGGGGAGCTAATGGGGAACCTAGACTTCTCTCCCCACTTGGCAGTAAGTGAAGCTGCACCCCACTTCTTCTGTTGTTGGGGTCTCAGAGGAGGCCGGCTAAAACTTAACATTAGTTTCGGTAACGGCCAATTCATTAGTTTTCTCTTAAGGACCATGCTTTTGTTGTCCTGTCTGGAAACATTGAAACTCAAAGTAGCAGAGATTTCCTCCTATGTTTTCTTGTAGACGTTTTTAAATTTCGCACATTACACTTTGTGATCCATTTGGTGTTAATTTTCATAGAAGGTGTGAGGTGTGTGTCTGGTTTAAATTTTTGAAAAGAGGCGTCCAGTTACTCCAAGTACCATCTGTTGAAAAGATTGTGATTTCTCCATTGAATAGCATTGGCACTGTTCTTGGACAACAGATGAATGCATATTTATGTATGTGTGTGCGTGTGTGTGTGTATACATTTGTACATGTATTCTGTGCTTCTATGACTATATTTCTGTGGCATCTGTATTCTTTATTCATCTACGTAGTTATGCTTATGCCGGTACCACATTAACTTTTATTTCTGTAGCTTATTAATTAGGTCTTGAAATCAGGTAATGTGAGTCTGCCAACTTTCTTCTGTATGAATTTTGAAATGAGCTTCTTGATATTTACAGAAAGGCATGCAGACATTTCAACTGGGATTGCGTTGACTGTGTAGATCAAATTAAAGAGAACTGGCATCTTAATAATAGTCTTTCTGTCCATGAACGACATACTCGTCTCCGTTTATTTAGGATTTCTTTCGTCAGTAGTTTTCAGCATACAGATACCCAGTTTTCTTGGCTCTGTATTTTTTGGTGTGATGGAAAATTATATTATCTGATTTCGAATTCCAGTTGATCGTTGTTTGTGTATGTTTGTATATTTTGCCCTTGCTGAGAACACTTAACTAGTTTGAGGAGTTTGGGGAAGATCTTTCTGTGATTTTCTGTGTAGACTTAGTCTGTATCTTTCCTGTTTATTCTTGCATTATTCTTACTGCATTGGTTGGAACTTCCTTTACAATCTTGGGTAGAAGTGCTGAGAGTAAACACCTTTGTCTGATTCCCAATCAGGTTTGAAGCATTCCAACTCTCACTTTTAAGTATGATGTTAACTGTAAGCTTTTTATGGATTCCCCTTATTAGGTTATTGAATGGATTTTGAATGGCTTGGAATACTTTTTTGCGTTAATTGATGTGACTGTGATTTTAATTCTTTAGATGATTAATGTGATGCATTATGTTGATTTTTGGATATTGCAACAGTTTGCATTCTTGGGATGAATCCCACTTGATCCTCATTTATTATTTCTTTTTATATATTGCTGTGTTCTTTGGCTACTTTTCATTCAGGATTTTTGCATTTTTATCATGAGGGATATTGGTCTGTAGGTTTCTTTTCTTGAACTATCTTTGTTCGATTTTACTATGAGGTTAATATAGGCCTCATAGAATGATTTAGGAAATATTTCCTCATCTTGTATTTACTAGAAGAGATTATATAAAGTTGGTATTATTTCTTCTTTAAATGTTTGGTAGAATTCGCTTGTTAAAACCATTTGGTCCTGGAACTGTTTTTTGAAACTACATTTTTTTTTTTACCACATAGTTAATTTTTTTTTTTTCTTTGAGGAAGATGAGCCCTGAGGTAACATCTGCCACCAATCCTCCTCTTTTCACTGAGGAAGGTTGGCCCTGAGCTAACATCTGTGCCTATCTTCCTCTATTTTATATGTGGGACGCTTCCCACAGCATGGCTTGAAGAGCTGGCGTATGTCCATACCCAGGATCCAAACTGGTCAACCCTGGGCTACCAAAGCGGATCGCGCGAACTTAACCACTGCGCCACAGGGCTGGCCCTGTCAGTTTCTTAAATAGATACTCATCTCTTTGGGGTTATCTTTTTCTTCTTGAATGAGTTTGGTAGGTGGTTTTTATTTCAAGAAATTTGTCCATTTTATGTAAACTGTCAAATTTATGGGCATAAGGTTTCTCTTAATATTCTTTGATTATGTCTTTGGTCTGTTGTGTCGCTAGTTATATCCTCTCTTGCTTATCTTTCTGATATTGATAATGTGTCTTCTCTTTTGTCCTCTGTTTTTTTATTATTAAAGGAAAATCTTTTCAAAGCACTAAGCTTTGATTTGATTGATTTTTCTCTGTTGTTTTCAATTCCATTGTCTTCTCTAATCTTTATTATTTCCTTCCTTTTTCTTTAGATTTAACTTCTCTTTGTCCACTTTCTTAAAGTGGAAGCTGAGGTAACTATTTGGAGGTGTTTCTTTTCTCATATGATAGTTTTAAGGTATAAATTTATCTCTGAGCGCTGCTTTAGCCTCATCCCACAAATTTCTATATGTTTTAAACAGTTTTTGTTTTTGTTCACTTCATAGTATGTTAACTTTCTGTGAGACTTCCTCCTTGACCCATGGGTTATTGAGAAGTGTATTAATTTGTAAGTACTCTGTACTTCTCCAGATAAGTCTGCATTACTGACTTCTAGTATAATTTCTCTGTGGCTTGAGATCACACTTTATGTGATTTGTGTTCTCTTATATTTGTAAAGATGTGGCTTACAGCCCAGAATGTGGTCTGTCTTGGTGAACATTTCATGTGCATTTGAGAATAATGTGAATTCAGCTCTTTTTTAAAGTATTGCATCCTTGGGTTGTGAGGGTGTGGTTTTCACCAGCGGTACTTCCTGTCTTCTGGCTGTGTTAACATTGGGCTACCATGTATTCCTGCTTGTTTTCTTGTTTCTGTGCTGCCTTTTCTTCCTTCTTTGCTTCCCTTACCCACTATGAGTTGCCACCAGTGCCCCAAAGCAACAATTTGTTAGAGTAGATAGGAATGTGGTTCCAGGTAAAATTTTGCCCATGGCTGCTGTTACCATCTCCCAAAATGTCCTATGAATGGAACTTTCTCAGGACTTTTCATGATTTTTCCTGTGAGCTCTTGAGTTTGGCTCATGGATGAAAATTTTGCAGGAGTGTGCAAATCCTTTGTTTCTGTGGGAAGAAAAATCCTTTATGTCACAGGGAAGAGTGTTCCAGGTTTTTCTGGCTTCAGTAGGGTGGCTGTTGTCAGAAAGGTTTTCTGTTCTGTTAGACAACCTTTTTCTCAGACCTTTGGTTAAAAGAACAGGCTTTCCTTGGTGCTCTTCTGTGTCTCCCTCTTACTGTATTTGGATTTCAGGCTTCTCCAGCACCCCATATAAAATATGTGGGAGCAGAAAGAAAAGCCTTGGAATTCTCTGCCATGTCATTTCTTAAGTCCCAAAGTCCAACTTTCCATTTTTTTAGCATCTTCCTTTGTTAACTCTTGTTTGTCTGTTTTTGTCCAGAGATTTTTTAATGGTAAGAGGAAGTACTTGGGAAGAAGGAGCTGCTTCATCTTGGCCAGCACTAAAAATAATACCTGTTTCTTTTTTTTTTAAACAACATGGATGAGGAGAGAGAGTGTCTTTCTGTCTGTGTGCATTAATTAGTAATCTTTGGAAATATGACTAGAAACAGTAGAATTCCAATACATAACAAAACCATGACTCTTAGCCCCCCTCTGTAAGAAAGTAAGATTCATAAGATGTTTTCAATTTTTCTCATTTTAGGCTATTACAAAGTTGATGTCCACCTTGAGGGGAACTGGGAAAAAGAAGAGAAACCTCTGTGGCAAGTAATATTCATGGATAACAAAAGATTGAGTAAGGAAGTACAGAAAGTTTTAGAAAAACCATTTAATCTGGATTCAACTCCAGATTTTTCAGGATCAATGCCCTGTAAATGTGACTCACATAGAGTGAATTTGCCAGTTGTTTCTGAATTAATTATTAATGATAGAAAGTATTCAAGAAAGAAGGCCAATTACATGAATGTAGGTGAAAAGTTGCAGCTTGGGATTAAGCGTCAGAAAACTCCTACTGGAGAGAAGTCTAATGAATGTAATAAAAATGTGAAAGGTCTCAGTTACAAGAAAGATCATCAGAAATTTCAAACTCTGGCACAATCCTTTGAGTATAATGAGTTCGGGAAAGTTTTACGTGATAAAACCGTCTGTGTTACAGTGACAAGTTCTCTAACAGGAGAAGAATCCTATAAGGACTTTGAATTTAGGAAAAACTGTGATAAACCAACTGTATTTAACCTCGTCAGAAATGGCACAAGGGAAGAATGCTTTGATCTTGATGAAGTTGGGAAATCCTGTGACGATAGGAATACTTTATTGGAGTACAATAAAATTAACGTGGCTATGACACACTGTGAACGTCATGAAAGTGGGAGTAACTTCATCAGGAATTCACCCCTCATTCAACCTCAGAGAACTATTACAGGACAGGGTGCTTCTCAAAGCAGTAAATGTGAAGAAAATTTGAGCCAGAGCTCAACCCATCAGAAGACGCAAACTGGAGATAAATTCTGTGTTTTTAATGAATGTACAAATGCCTTCTATGAGAAATTAGACCTTATGATACATCAGAGAACTCACACAGAAGAGAATTTCTACGAGTGTGGTAAATATGGGAAATCCTTCCATCAAAACTCAGCCCTGGATCTATTTCAGCAAAGTGGCACAGGACAGAAGTCATTTGAATGTAATGAATGCAGGAAATTCTTTTACCAGAAAGCACACCTCATTCAGCATCAGAGGATCTGCTCGGGGGACAAAACTTATGAATGTGAGGAATGTGGAAGATCCTTTTCTCCAAATTCACACTCTGTTCATTGTCCTGGAACCCATATGGGGGTCAGTCTCTGTGAATGTAATGAATATGCGAAAACTTTCTGTCAGAAGTCAAACCTCAGTGAACATGTGACAGTTCATACAAAGGAGAAACCTTATGATCACAATCGATGTGGGAAATCTTACAAGAAGTCTGCCATCATAGAACACCAGAGAACACACACACGGATGAAACCCTTTCAGAGTAATGAATATGGGAAAACATTCTCCAAGATGGCACATCTCAAAGAATGTCAGAGAATTTACACAGGGGAGAAACCCTATGAATGTATTGAATGTGGGAAAACTTTCTCCAAGACGTCCCATCTCAGAGCACATCAGAGAATTCACACAGGTGAAAAACCCTATGAATGTATTGAATGTGGGAAGACTTTCTCTCACAAGACTCATCTCAGTGCACATCAGAGAACTCACACAGGGGAGAAACCTTATGAGTGTAATGAATGTGGGAAAACTTTTGCTGATAATTCAACCCTCAGAGCACATCAGAGAACTCACACAGGGGAGAAACCTTATGATTGTAATGAATGTGGGAGGTCTTTTGCCCATATATCCGTTCTCAGAGCACATTTGAGAATTCACACAGGGGAGAAACCTTATGAATGTAATGACTGTGGGAGATCTTTTGCCCATAATTCAGCCCTCAGAGCGCATCAGAGAATTCACACAGGTGAGAAACCCTATGAATGTAATGAATGTGAGAAAACTTTTGCCCATAATTCAGCTCTCAGAGTACATCACAGAGTTCACACAGGGGAGAAACCATATGAATGTAATGAATGTGAGAAAACTTTTGCCCATAATTCAGCCCTCAGAGCACATCAGAAAATTCACACTGGGGAGAAACTGTATGAATGTAATGAATGTGGGAAAATCTTTTCCCAGAAGACACACCTCAGTACACATCGGAGGATTCACACAGGGGAAAAACCGTATGAATGTACTGCATGTGGGAAAACCTTTTCCCAGAAATCATACCTCAGTGGTCATGAGAGAATTCACAAAGGGGAAAAACCTTATGAATGTAATGAATGTGGGAAAACTTTTGTCTATAAGGCAGCCCTGATAGTCCATCAAAGAATTCACACAGGAGAGAGACCCTATGAATGTAATGAATGTGGGAAAACTTTCTCCCAAAGGACACACCTCAGTGCACATCAAAGAACTCACACAGGGGAGAAACCTTATGAATGTAGTGAATGTGGGAAAACTTTTGCTGATAATTCAGCCCTCAGGGCACATCAGAGAATTCACACAGGGGAGAAACCCTATGAATGTAATGAATGTGGGAAAACTTTCTCCAAGACATCACACCTCAGAGCACATCTGAGGACTCGTGCAGGGGAGAAACCCTATGAATGTAGTGAATGTGGGAAAACTTTCTCCCAGAAGTCGTATGTTACTGCACATCAGCGAATTCACACAGGGGAGAAACCCTATCAGTGTAATGTATGTGGGAAACCCTTTGCCCATAATTCAACCCTCAGAGTACATCAGAGAATTCACACAGGTGTAAAATCCTATGAATGTAATGAATGTGGGAAAACTTTCTCCCAGAAGTCACACCTTAGTGCACATCAAAGAATTCACACAGGGGAGAAACCCTATGAATGTAATGAATGTGGGAAAGCTTTTGCCCAAAATTCAACCCTCAGAGTACACCAAAGAATTCACACGGGGGAAAAACCCTATGAATGTGATGCCTGTGGGAAAACTTTTGTCCGTAAGGCAGCTCTTAGAGTACATCATACAAGAATGCACACCAGAGGGAAAGCCCTTGTGTGTAATGAATTTGGGAAGTCCTAAAGGAACTCATACATTATTAGATAGGTAACACAATGAAGGAGCTCATGTCACATAGACTGGCCTATTTCCCTTAACTATTTTCTTTTTCTCTGGGCCCATAGCTTGTTTAAATTTCCCACTCCTTCATCCAGGTGGGGCTGGTCATGGAATATGATGCTACTACATTTAAGCTAAGACTGGACTTGAAAGTCACCTGTGTTCTTCCTGTCCTGTGTTATACCAGAATGGAGAGCCTTCCACACAGACTTGGGTGCTGTATTTTGAACATGGTAGAGCACAAGGTGAGAGACTCTAGAGTGAATAACTGGGTGAAACAATTCTCCACTAACAGATCTTCACCAGTTGGCCTTTTTTTTTTTTTAGGCAAGATATCAACTTGTGCTCTGTTGAGTTCTTACAGGTTTTGATCTGTTGATTGAATGCAATAGCTTAGCCAACTCTGTTAGAGTGGGATGAAAGCCTGTTAATATAATAAATGTGAGAAGACCAATAAGAATTCAGCCTGTCTATGTACATGAGAGACTTCACATGAGGGAGAAAACTTCTGTCAATATCTTGAATGATCAGCCTTCATCAAAAATCAAGAGAAATCTCAGGGAAAAACACAAGCCTTTTCTGCAAAGTGAACTTCTTTAAACGTGAAATAATTAAGATGAGATGAAACTTTTGTATTTTTTATAATGACATTTTTTAACAAATTCGTGTGTTGCCCAACAATGGTATACGTTCTAAGGAATGCGTTGTTAGGTGATTTTGTCATCATGTGAATGTTATAGAGTGTACACAGACTCTAGGTTGTATAGCCTACTACGTGTCTGGGCTATATGGTACTAATCTTATGAGACCACCATCATGTATGTGATCTGTCACTGACTGAAACCTTGTTATGTGGCAGGTGTCTGTACTGAGTTTGCTTCAGAGAATTGTTTTCTGAGGAAATGTCTCAGTTTCAGAATTGAAGGTCAAATCTTCACCTAGAACTGATGTACCAAAACTTGTGTTTTACATGCAATACTAAGGTTTGTAGAATATAAAAAAGAAAATATTTACCTGTACACAAACTCAGTGTGGAATGGGAAGTTTTAAAGATGGAGAAGTAACGAATTCTGTGGACAATACCAATAAATGTGACTAGCGTCTGTGCTATATAGTACATCTGTATGAGTCTCTGTAGCAGAGAATTTGTTATTACTGGTGAGTTCTAGTAGAAGGCAGTAGCCAAGTCTGCTCGAACCTGTCCACTTCCCCTTTTTGTGTGACAGTCTGTATCCTTTCGGCTTCCCTCAGCTCGATGTTGTGACTTTGCCCTGCCTGCTAATGTCTGAATATTAGTCTGGTCCAGTTTTTCTAGGTCCTTGGAAATCCGTGGGATTTTTCAAGCATTCTTGTGTGTATGTATCCTTGTGTGTGTTGTGTATGTGTTTGGTGGATGTTGATTTCTACATGTTTTTTTGGTCTTCATTTTATGCCACTTCAGTTGTTCGTTTTGTACTGAGTCATTACAAAGCAAATCCTCTCCTCAGCCCTCTTGCATGCATGTAGCCTGAGCATCCTGTCTAGAATCTTTTTCCAAGAACCCAGGATGCTTGCCCACACTGTGCAGCATTGAAAATCAGCGTTATTTCTGCCCTGCTTGGGCAGCGGGCTTTGAAATTGGAAAGAAACATCAGGGCTACTTTCATATCAGAAGCACTGCTTTGGTATTGAAAAGCACACTCGCTTTTGGGGAGGGGAATCTATGTGATACACATAGCATAGTCTTAGAGGACATATTTGGTCCATCTGCCATCATTTCAGGCTACATGGTTTGGTCAGCACAGAGAAGGAAATAAATGAAACCCTCATTTTTAAAACCTGGACCACTAAAGATTTCTCTGGATCCTGGGCATGTTGCTGTCTGCAAGTATAATCTGGTAGTCTGAGCCTGAGAACAAGTCAGGTGATTCTCTGGGTGAGTTTTCTACTCCCTATCCTCGGTGGATACTATGTGAGGGAAAATGGTGGTGTATTTTTAGCATTAATTGGAGAACAGGTATTTCTTCAACAATGGGTTATTGTCACTTAGTGGCATCACTGCCAAAGAAAACAGCCAGGAGTAAGAGCCCGCCCTTAGATGAGGGCTAATCGTCGTACCATGGAGATGGATCAACACTCCTCGTGGCACCTAAGTTCCAGCAGTGGAGAGATTATAATTTGCCCCCGCTCAGTCTCTGACACCCTGATGCAACTTGAGCTTACTGCACAGTGCCAAAAGAGAAATGAAAGTCAAAAGAGATCTCTTTCTACATGCTTGGTTTTTCAGAAAACTAGAGTTGAAAAGTATCTAATGTGGAGTACTTTTCAAAAAAAAATTTAACTTCAGTTTAGAATAGTTTTAGATTTAAAGAAAAGTCACCACCGTACTTCCTATATACTCAGTCAGTTTCCCATATTAACATCTTACATTGCTCTGGTTCATTTGTCTTAACTCAGTAACATAGATATGTTACTAACTAAACACACCATTCTTTAGATTTCACTAGTGTTTCACTAATGATTTTGTGTTCCAAAATGCCATCTAGGATACCACGTTACACTCAATTGGCATGTCCCCTTAGCTTCCACTGGTCTGTGACAATTTCTCAGACCTTCCATGTTTTTGATTACCTTGACAGTTTTGAGGAGTCCTTGTCAAGTATTTTGTAGAATATTCCTCAGTTTGGGTTTCTGATACCTTTTTTTTATGGTTACACTGGTGTTAGAGGTTTTTTGTAGGAAAACTGCAGAGATAAAATGTTATCATACGGATAGTGTATGCTGTCAACATGAGTGATCACTGACAGTGCCAACCTTGATCACCTGGTCGAGGTGGTGTCCCTCAACTTAAAAGCATGTGTAGCAAGTACCATGCTGGCTACTTGGTAACTATTTCTTCTATAAATCACTAACCTATCAAATTGTACATAAAATAAGATCAGAATCCTTTTTATGTGTTTTTTATTTTAATGTTGGAAACAATAGAAGTGCAGATAGGTTGAAAATCGTAGCACCCAAAAGAAGAGCCTGAAGCTGATGCAGTTCACAGTCCACATTTTTGGTTTTTGGTGATTGTTGGAATAAGACTGAATCAATGCCCTTTTCTTTGCTCCCTGGGATCTGCATTCAGGATTTTGTCGTCTTTCATCCTGAGAGTGGTGCCCAACTCTTCTGTACCTCTTAATCCCTGGTGTTTGGACCCTGAGATATGAAAGGACTGAAGGAAAGTTTGCACTTCATGAGTCAGTCAACCCAGAAGTTAGTCTATTAAATCAGCTAACAGAAGGTAGGAAGAATGACCTGCCACGATAACTAAGCAATGTATGATGATAAGAGAAATAAGGCAGACTTGAGCGCAGCATGGGTTATCAAATGCCTAATGCCTGTATCGGGTTTTTTAAAAGCACTGATAAATTGTGTGGTACTAGTAAGAAGATTTAAAAGGATTGGGCATGTTATTCTTTGAAAGTTAAGTTTAGCCATATAGGCTATAGGCAGATGACAATGATGTGGATGTGTAAAAGATGTGGGAGCACATGGTCACTCCCAGGTAGTAGCTTAATAGCTAAACTATGGAAAGGTTATAGAGAAGCAAGAGTTACTAATGAAGCAAAAACACGGGGGCATATGTTACTGCACACATACAGCACATATTGTCATCAGACTGGATGAAAATCTAGTAGGAACTCGTAATACCTCTGGGAGAGAAACATACTGAGAACAGAGAACACTTCTGTTGGATGAGCAACATGCTCTGGTAGAATATGATAAGCCAGCAGCACAGGTAGAATGTAATCATATCTCTACTGAGGTAACAGAAGTAAGACTCTATTGTTAGACTGCTCAGGAAGCCAGAGATTATTGGTGGCCAGAGTGCAGGTGCATCCAAGAGAAACAGATCAGAAATCAGCAAGCACTGAGCAAGTTGATTAGCACAGAAAATAAGGGGAGGGATAAAAGAGACCACTGAGTGAACTGAACATGGAAAAAGAACTAGGTTATATATGCCTTATGGACAGATTACTCACAAGAAAGAGAACAAGATTATGCACTGTGAAATAGCCACAAGGCCTGAGCTACAGACTGCCACATTACCAAAAAATGTGATGCAATAAACAGTGACAGTTAAACAGTCGAATTGCTAAAGATGACTCATAGGACCCAAAATGACAATGCTTATAAATCTACAATGTATTAAGGGAAAGGGTGCAATATAGCAACAGCATAAAGTAAGGACTTGCATCACAGCAAAAGGCTGCCTCACAGCCATGGGTTTGGATGAGAGCCAGGAGTGAGCTCCCATTTTCCTCCATTTATGGACACAATTTCACTGTCAGAGAAGAACTAACGTGCACAGAACACTTCAGAGGCACAAAATGGATTCACGACTGGGGTTTCTTATACCCTGCTGGGTGTGTAGGCATGTTCTTGCTATGTAACCAGCCTCAACAGCAAAGCACTCTGAAGGTCTCAATGAGAACAGGTGTAAATCGTCAATTGCACTGTTACCAATAAACACTGCTGATAAGCTGTGAAAAACCTGTCCCAAAACATCTTGCACCCATGGCTACAAAGCAACACTAATAATGTTTCACTCCTTGATCAACGGTGAAGGATGTGCAGATACTTCAGCTCAGGTCTGTTCCAGGTCTGTGCACTTAACTCTCACAGCAAGGTCCACCCCCTGATTTTTGGTCAAAACCTTTGCCAAAAAAAAATCATCACTCATAGTTTGACAGTAGTCATTTGCCTTTCAGCAGCGTGTAATCAAATAGACAACCAAAATGCACATACAGATTTCAAAGAGTATAATAACAATGGCTCTCTGGAGGTAAATGGCTCTCCCATCCACTAGGCAACTGAACATTTGCATAGTCAGGCCCACCTTGGTGAAAGACAGCAAGAAGAGTATCCATCCTCTCAATCCTTTTGGAATTCTTGCTATTAGTCAAAGTCATAGACATAGTCTCTGGTTTTGGAATGTTTCCGGAGTCTTGGACCTTAATTTTAGCCCTACTTCCAGATCTGGCATTAGAAAGGAAATTGTTGTCAAGTAGAGATGAGTTGTATGTAAATTGGAATGCATGTAAATTGGAAAAGAAGTAAATTTTTTTTTCAGATGACGTGAGATAGAAAATCTGATAGAATCTACAAAAAAAGCTATTAAAAACTAATAAGCTACTATTTCTTCTTAATAAGCAAATAAAGCTACTAGTACTAATAAGTAAATTAATCAAGATTGAAGGATACAAGATGAATATATCGAGTGTCTTCCTATATACTAGCAACAAACACTTGGAAATTGAATTTAAAAATTACAATTCACAATAGTGCCAAAAACTATCAAATATTTAGGGAATATGTAAGGTCTTTCTACTGAAAACTATAGAACAGTGCTGTGAGTAGTTAAAGAAGACCTAAATAAACTGAGATATACCATGTTCATTGGTCAGAAGACTCAAGATCTCAAATCTCCCAATTACACATTATTATATGTGTTATATACATTCAGTCCCATCCAATGAATTATCATATGCTTTCAACCCCATCCATTCAAAAGCCCAAGTGGTCCTTTTATGAAAATTGACAAGTTGATACTACAATTGGTACAGCAATGCAAAGGACCTAGAATGGTCAAAACGACTTTGAAATGTAAAATGAAATGAAATATAAAGTTAAGAGAATTAACCTGATCTGATATGGAGGCTGCATGTCAAGCTACAATAATCAAGACAGTGTGGTACTGGTGTAAAGTTAGACTGGTAGAACAATGGGACAATAGAGTCCAGAAATAAACCTGCACACATGTGGACAGCTGTCTTTTTAAGCTTTGATCCCTACCATGCACTATATTAAAAAATTAAATGGAACATAGATCTAACCGTAAAAACTAAAACTAAGAAGTTTGTAGCAGAAAACATAGGGGAAATGTTCTACCTTGGGTAAGGCAGATGTTTCTTAGATACAACACCTAAAGATACATAA